TCAGGCCTTTTTGCCTTAGAATTAAAGTATGAAAATTTTTCAGTTTTAATAATTTTTGAGCTTATGCGTTAAAACAAATCAACACGTATTTTTTAATTTTTTGATCTGACTTGCAGATTTCGTAAAATTCACCAAAAACGGAAAAATGGTCTGAATTGTTTTGTGATCGAATTAATATAGCTGGTCTTGGTATCAAACGAAAGCTCTTGAGCTGTTCTTTAAGAAAAATATATATTTGCAATTTTTTTTGAACGTGAGGCTCGTTAGACACAGAAAACAATGTTTTTTTCATTCCGACTTGAATAGCATCTTTGGACTACCCTGAGGACCAACTTTTCTGCACATATTCTGATAGATCTTGATCTGGTCTATAAGAAAATGAAATATAAAAAGGTGCCGACTGGCGCCTTTTCGAAAAAATCGACAAAAACTAAGATTAGCGTTGTAAAGCGGTAAAGTGGCCTCGGCATACCCTGAGGACCAAGTTTTTAGTACGGTTCCATACAGAAGTGTAACGTAAAAAAGTTACTTGATGAGTGATAAATGAATTAAATAAATTGAGTACACAATAAGAAGAACTTTAACTAGTATAATTGAACTTTTATTATCCAATGGTTGATTAAATGATTGTAATGAATTACACAGATTATTGGAATGGGTTAACTTAATTAAAAGGACGATGACAAGATGAAATCTATTAGAATGTTTTAACTTGAATGTTGTGATGATTCTAAAAGAAGTGAACATTCTATTAGTAAGTGATCTGGTTTTCAGGATCATCGAGAGTCACGAGTGTCTCGTGAGTAGAAGGTTTATTCATCTTTGTCGGTTAGTAATAAAGATTTAGGTTGATTAGTAATTAATGATTATGATCCAAATATAGTAAAGACCATATATTGATTAACACAAGTTATTGATTATGGAAGGAAGTAATCCTAAATAAGGGTTAATTGGTTATTGATTATTGATAATGGACGGATTTATCCTTGTACGGGTTTGTAACCAGTGATGAATAATTAGATCGAAATTTACGTTACAGAAGCAATGTTAGTCAATCCAAAAATCGAATCGAAAAATTTTTTGACTTGGATTGCGCCTTTTCGAGATAAATAGGTGATAACTTGTTAGAGTCAGGGTCCATTATCTCGAAAAGGCGAGTCAGATCAAAAAATTAAAAAATACGCGTTGATTTGTTTTAACTCATAAGCTCAAAAATTAAATAAAATAACATCAAAAAGTTTAGGCTAAAAACAGTCAAAAATGCCTGATGTCCTTTGAATATGAAATAGGTATCATTAGGTTGAGACGAAGGCCAAGATCAGGTCCAAAAAAGTTTAACTCATTAGGTTCGTCATGAAAAAGAGAAAATAAAATTAGAGAAGAGAAATTTGAAATTTGTATCAAATTAAGTGCCAAACAGTAATAAGAAGAGACTGCAGACTACAAAAAAGCAAGAAAATTAGTTCACACCGATGAACCAGGTGGAGCTCAAGTAAATAGCAAAAACTGCAGCAAGTCAATGGAGATTTAATTAGTCAATTTTTCTAATTAATTATTATTCTAATGATTATTTTCATAATTTTTTTGCGAAATTAATACTGAGCTTACTTCTTTACGATCATTTAGTCCAAAAATTCGTTTAGAATTCGTAACAAAATACCTAAAGCGTTCGACTTATCTGACCTAAACATCGCTTTGGCCTGATAATTGTAGATATTTCTAGTCTGTAAAAGTCTAATTTTCTGAAAGCGCATAAAAAGATGTCCTTGCTCTGTTAATTTCATTCCTAAAAAGTCTACAAATGCTGAGAAAAAGTGATCTAAAGTTTCGACTTTGAACGCAATTTGCTCGAAAATTAACGATCAGATCACAATGAAATTTTTAACAAACGAGTTCTTTCTCATGTCCCTACAAAACTCATAAGTTCCAATTCTTAACTCAAAAGTCCATTTTCTCAACGTATCGACCATTCTTACTATCTACTTGTGTCTCCGCCTGGTTGATCGGTGTGAACTAATTTTTTTGTGAGAGCTATCAACTGCTCTCTCTTGCTATTACTCTTTGTTAAGCGCTCAGTTTTGTACAGTGATTGTGTTTTTATTTTTAGGTTTGTATTCGATAAGTTTAAATTTGAAAGGTATCTGAGGCTTTGAGTGTGGTTTTGGTTTCTTTGTTAGGTTATCAACAAAACTTACCAAGAAACACAAAAATGGTTGAAGTTATTATGACGCAATAATAGCTTAGTTTTAAGAGTAACAAAAACAACTAAAGTAGCTGTTTAACTATCATAATTTTGGTATCAACTTGATCCTTGTGATGGGATGAACAATAATAACACAAAATTTAATTTTAAATTCACAGGTAAAGTTAATTAAATTAAAAATTATCAAGAGCGAAAAAAGTTAATCTTTCTCCTTAAAAGGAAAAGAGAAGTTGCAAAACATTTGGATCAGATTGCTCTTTTTCAATGGTCAAAGAGAAGAGAAATTGAGGACGATGTGTAAAAAGTGGACTTTTTAATTAAGAGTTGAGACTTTTTGTATTTGAAAGGCCACTAATGAGAAGTCTAAATATATATATTTCTTTCTGATCTGATCGATAGTTTTCGAGAAAATCGAGTTCGAAGTTTGATGCTCTTTTTATCAAGCATATTTTTTTAAGGAAAATTGTCACAAGAGCCTCCGGCCACAGTTCCGTTGTATTGTAATAAATGGACCTTGATTAGTCCAAGTATCAATACTTTAATGTTATTTTAATAGACATTTTCTGAAAGAGCATCAAAAGTTGTCATTCAATTTAAAATTTCATGATCTGAAAACGCGTCATTACTGAGAAAAATTGACCTGAAGTTCTAACTTCTAACTCGATTTTCTCGATTAGATCAGAAAAAATGTAATATAAAAGGGTATCAAATAACAGAATAAAACAGATTTCTAAGGCTATTCATCGCCAACGAGTCTCACTCTCTTCACCGAGACTTTGTCATCATTTTTTGTGACATTTTGGAGTCCACGATGACAATTAGTCTTCTGTCCCGATGAAAAAGTTTAAAGTCATTCTTGTAAAGTTCAAATAAAGTAACCACAACATCAACCAGTTAATTATTTTATGCTTTATTCTGAAAAAAAATGCTAAATAAACAATTGTTAACAATTAGTTTTGAGTTAAGAGTTGAAACCAAAGAGTAATGAAGTATTACTACTTCAGGTCAATTTTTCTCAGTAATGACGCGTTTTCAGATCATGAAATTTTAAATTGAATGACAACTTTTCATGTCCTTACAGAAAATTAAATTTGTTTTTTGAAAAAAATATCCAAAGTGCTCCGGCCACAATTCCGTTGTATTTAAATAAATGGACGGCGATTAGTCCCAAGTGTCGAGAATGATCTGAAACTTATTTTTGAGACTATTCTAGTATGGGCTAACATCATGGATCGAGCACTTTTTTCATTTGATCAACAATTGAGAGAGTGGCCTTTGATCTTCGAGGGCTAATATCTCCGAAACTACAATACTTAGAAATGTCTGAATAAGTCAAATCATCGTCATTTAATCAAAGCTATCAGAAGCAATAGTTTTTTGGCCTTAAAATACAGTCACTTTTGCTAAAAATAGTTTGACAATGTTTGATGAAACCGTATTTCATTCGAGCAAACATAAAACATTTGGGTGTTTATAACTTGGGTGTAGTATAATTTTTAACTAACTTTAGTCTCAGCTAGACCATCACTTTTTAAGGCCTCCTCTTTTTAAGCCTAAGTGCTCGATCCACGATGTTAGCCCATACTACAGGGCAATTCAGCTATTTTTACTGATGCTTTTTGCGATTTTCTCAGCAACTAAAAGTCAGAGAGACACGAGACTTGAGTGGTATGAGTTTGAGCGATACTTGTTTGTTGTATCAAAAGATCAAGGTCATTCAGGTCATCGGTAAAATAACACGTTTCAAGGTCATCTGAAGGTGCCACAGTTATTCTTCACATTTTTTAATCCTGAAAATGAGTTAAGATATCCTTGCTGTCACATGATCTTGAGATATTACAGTTTAATTGAATAACTGCTGAAAATCTTCTATGCAATAAATTTATCATAACGTGCATTGCAAAGCTCATAGAAACCTCAAAACTTGTCAGTAGTGTCCGGTAAAAATAGCTGAATTGCCCTGTATAAAAACTAAGATAGCACGATTGTTGATGCTTTCTTTGTGAACAAATTTAATATTGTGACGGTATCGGGGTTCGAGTACCTTAGAGAGAGAGAGAGAGAGAGAGAGAAGAGAGAGAGAGAGAAAACTTTGATCAGCTTTTACAAAGTAAAAGCTAAGAAATCAAAGTTAGAGAGATGTAGACTAGAGAAGATCTCAAAGTAAACATAATTTTAATTTCATTTTGTCTCTGCTTATATACAAAATTGAGAGTGAGTCTTTTCATCATCATCATCTTATCTTTGACCAATGGTCAGTTAGTTCAGGGTAAGGTGATGATGATGATTACAACACAATGTTGAGCAATCAACAGTCACCATCATCAACCAATTGTTATTGTTGATTGTGTGTTGGTGATGATTGTTGATTGTAGGTGGTTACAATCAGGGGAGAGAAGTTGATCTCACAATATAAAAAAAAAATTTTCGAATTAAGTCCAGAAATCGAGGCCGAATTTTCGGCGATGCAAAAATTTCGTTTCTCGCGCTTTTTTCTGAAACCACGCCTTTTTACCCTCTGAACTTTTCGGCCTTAGTGCAACTAAATAAGGTCTATCTGATGGTATTAAATTTAAATTATTTAAACACACGAGGTTATTTAATAAGATGTCAAAAATCGGGAGTTCAATTAAAAACACCCTGTACATCATTTTCGCTACGAATAAAAAGAGAAAAAAGGAAAACGAATCGAATTGAATTGTAATTTTTATCTATTCGATTCTAATGATTTGAATTGGTTAACTAATTGCGAAATCAATTCTATCAAATCACGAGAAAAGAAAGAGAAAATTTCGACAAACACTTATTGGATTTTCTCTTCTCAAAGCGGATAAGTGGATGAGCTTCACTTCATCTCAAGACATTGAATCATCTGTTTGTTATTCTCGATCCAGTTAATCATTTGTGATTTTCTTTTCTCCTTCTAACTGCTAATCAACCAGAGAACAATTAATTTCTGTTTACTGTAATCATGTACTTTGCTTATTTGACTGGTATTCTTTTTACCTTAATTGTAACAACACCAACAAAAGTAACATCACACAGAGAAAAATGTATTGGTTTAAATTGTTCCCAAGGTAAGAATTAATTTCTTTTCTTTTCTTCTTTTTAAATTCTAAATTCTATTAATATTTGATTATAATAGTAATCTAGTTAACTAAACCTTTGTATTAAATGATTTTTCATTAGAAAATTAGTAAAACAATAATAATAATCTCCAAGTGATTTGTTTATGTTTTTGTTTTTCTCTGGTTCCTTTTTTCCCTATGTTTTGGGTCACCTACTAATCTTGTTTACTTTTTTATTGACCATGTTGATGATTTAGTTAATTTCTTTTCTAAATTATTCATCATTACTTTCTACGATCTATGTACTACCCTTCAGACTTGATTTATGTGATACAATTAAGGCAATGTCAACAATTAGAATTTCTTTCAATTCTTCTGAAATTATCTCTTCATCTTCTAGTATCTTCCATCTTTTTTACCATCGTCAAGATTTCTGTTGTTGTCAAGCTAAATGAAAGAAAACTTCGACACAATTTACTAATTCTAATCAATTAACTGTGTCTGATTCTCGTTTGAATTGACAATCTATCAAGTGTTGGCTGTTACTCTCTCAGAAAATTGTCAACATCTCTTCATTCATCATGAGAGGTTAGGAAATATATTTGATAAAAGAAAACAAAGTCTTCCAAATTATCAGTAAACCTAAAAAGATACCAGAATAATTAATATTATTTTCTGTTTATTTAATTAAGTGATTGATTACATTACATTTTCTTTCTTTTTCAAATCAAATTATTACCAATGTAAACATTTCCATTGAGATTATTTTCTCAATTCGGTTGATAGTAATGATAATCTAGTTGAAAGTTCAATAAGATGGATGAGAATTGATAAAATGTTCAATGCAATATAAACATGAAACAGAATCAGAATCCCGGGCAATGCAAGAGGTAAGATATTCTGATCACCTTCATCCGATTCGAGATTCATTTTAATTAGATCAAATCGATTAACCTGTAAGAATGGTATACTTAACATGAATTGGTCTAGAACTTGACCAAGTACTCTATTGAAAATTCCTCCTTGAAGTGCCTTCAAGGCCCTGAAAGCGATAGATAAACGAGAGAAAGAGAGAAACGGGGGTCAAACTTGATTTGGAATTGGAAAAAAATGATTAACTTACAAATCGGAGAGACGTCTCTTTGTTTCATCGACATTATCTCTTGGATTAACGATATAAGCCAATAAACCTCGATGATAAGGTTTCTTGGAACGATAAATTTTCGCTACATAAGTGTTACCCAAAGCGGAAGGTATAATCATCCCCGAGTGACCTGCTCTCTCTGAGACCAGGATAGCATATTTTGGTGATAATGTTTCAAATATATCGGTCGATGTGAGGCCAAAAGGTTGAGTTGATTTTTTCCTATTCGCCAATTTAAAAACTTCCCGATGTTCATGAGTAACTCCCGTTTGAAATAGTTCAAATAACGATAGTCCCTCCAGAAATATCGGTATCTTATCCTGAACGACAACATCTCGAAGTGTATCAATTTTACCTTGATTTTCACCGGTAATTGTACTTGTATTAAATGTAGCATTAAATAGAGTCAAAGAAACTAACAATATGAAACTTTGATAAATTCTGATTAGAGTTAAATTGTTTTGCTGATCAGGATTGAATTGTCCAAATAGTATAGCCAAATAGCTTGAAAAAGTTTGAAACAATTTTAAACAAAATCCATTAGTTGATAGTTTTTTGGTCAACACAATTGCTGTTTCCAATGCATAGGTAACAATTAAAACGGTTAACCAAATAATCATCAAATCAAAGACAATTAAACTCTTCGAAATGTCCTGAGTGGACCTAACTGATGAATAAGGTATACTGTAGATGTAATAACTTTCCTCATTAATAACTGGTGAAAGCCAACCGGGTGGTTCAGGGGTTGTCAAAGGTATCGGTATAATTGCAGTATCAGCCGTCTAAATTGTTAACAATTAGAGTTCAATTTACCCGCACAATTAAGGTAACTTTTTACTCACTCTATTCTGAATCATACCAAGGACACCATCATGATAGCCCGTTGGTGTCAATCGTCCGACTTGTCCATGTTTGGCTATTTTCAAATTGATTCTGTTGAATTATTCATGTAGTTAATTTGCTTTGATTGTAATTAAATTTAATTAAACTTACCTGAAGAATCCAAAGTAACCAATATCATTGAGGAGTTGCCGAAGTGGCCTTAGAATCGGAATATACTCTCCATTTTCAACTCGAAATAAATTCGTTATCGGAACCTTTTTATTCAAAACAAACATATCATTTAATTGTTTGGTTAATTGTTGATTGAATATCATAAACTGTTCACTTACTTCAAATGCTGCGACAGTTAAATTAATTTGATTTGATTTTCCATTCATAATTTTAGAGAAAAATTTTTATTCTCAATATCTCAAGTTTTTCATTCAATTTTTGATCTAAATATATTATCTTTTACTACTAAATTGTGACAATTTAAACCTAGTTAGTTTCATTGTTTTTCTTTACCATTTGATGATTCAGTTAAATTACATCATTAATATTTCATCATTCTAATCATGTGTGAAAGGAAATCCAACAAATATACTTTGTAATCATAATTAGTTTCTATCACGAACGTTAATTAGTCAATTTGTAAGTTGAAACTTGTGTTGACTATTATAATTTACCATTGATTGTTAATGATGATGATGCTAATTAATATTTAATTGATGAGGTTGAAACAAGAAAAAAAACAACTAATTTTTAAATTGTTATTTCTTCCCTAATTAAGTTAAGTACAATTGTAGTTTCAATTTAAAATCTATCTTATTGATCTCCCCATCTAAATGGTATATCAACAATTAACTTTTTCTTTAACTTCAATCTACCAATAGATTAATTTTTATTATATCAATTAAATTGCTTGTAAGTTGTAACGATTATCAAAAGTACATAGAAATTAATGTTACTTTTTACTTTTTACTTTTATTTTTCCTACTTTAATCATCTTAATTGTCTTATATCATCTCAAAATGGTAAATTGTTTATTGGAGTCGAATCAAAATTGATATAATCACCAATTGTTTGATTACCTTAATGGTAAACAATTAGCTAACTAGTAATCATATACAAAAGTAATTTTCTAGCCTTTAATTTTACTCTGAACCTCTTAACAATTAACTGATTATGGTTGAATGTTGAATATTGATTAGTATTAAAACTGTTAACTAGTAAATTGGGTGTTATTTAATTGTTTTAATTTTCTCCTTTTTCAATTTCAGGCATTACAAAAATCCGAATCGTTGGTGAGCTTGAAGGTTCCAACTATACGAAAACTTGTCCCGACAATAGGACAATTTGCGAGGACGACGAAACTTGTTGTGCTGTGACAATCGGAGGATATGGATGCTGTGATCCCGATCATAGTAAATGCTGTGGTGATGGTGTCCATTGCTGTCCAAACGATCGAGTGGTCAAGCCTAAAATCCATCGAATCCCTTTGGTATCAAGTAATGTGAAATCAACTCTTGGCCAATTGAATAGAGTTGATGTTGACTTATTTAATAGTTCGAGTTCGATTGGTACACAATGTCCAGGGTCATCATTCGAATGCCAATCTCAGAATACCTGTTGCAAAGATCCACAAGGTAGTTGGGCTTGTTGTCCATACCCTAGTGCTAACTGTTGCTCTGATGGACTGCACTGTTGTCCAAACGGATATAAATGTCGATTAGATCTTGGCAAATGTGTTCGTTCAAATAAAAAGACCATCTCACCTCGAAAATAAATGCAAATGAAAAGTGACCTTTACATTTATCACATCAAATCAATAATAATAATCTACTATGATTTTGATTGTTTATTTTGATCTTTTCTTTTCTCTTTTTTTCTCTATGGTGAAAAATATCACCAATAATCACAATGTAATCCAATACTCTTACGTTTTTAATCCAAAAAAGGTAAAGTTTAAGTTATGTATTAATAAAAGAAACAGTAAAATTAATCTAATAGATTAATCTAAAGATTCATTCAATACATTATAATAAGTCGATCTTTCCCGTCCTCTCGTACTTTTGGGTTAGTTGATGATAAATTCGTGAATACTTTTTTTAAGAATATCAACATTTATTTATGAAATTTCATTTTTTGCATAATTACAAAACTTATTTTCTTTGTACATTGTTAAAACCCTCCACCTATCGCACTCATTGCCATATTAATTAATTGTCCAGCATCACCGAGACCTCCACCTCCACCGCCTCCACTGTCACCGTCTTGAGCTAAGGCTTGAATCAGTTGTAAATATTGAGACCACTCTTGTTGGGTCATTCCAAAACTACCAGAGTTTGAACCAGAACTTGAACCAGAATTTGCACCAGAATTTGATCCTGACCCCGAATTCGAACCTGAATTAATATTAACCTCACTTCGGCCTTGTTCATCTACTCCACCATTACTTGGACCATAATGACCACTATTACCACCGCCGCCAGAAGATGGAGATCCGAATAGGAAGGAAAATATTTGTGAGAAAAAGTCATCACCTTTTTGTAGATTTTAAAGAAAAGAAAAAAACATCAAATGTAATCAACAATTCGACTAATCAACCAACTAACAAACCTTCATTTGCTCCATTGTAATCACCGAACATGTCACCATTTAAATTGTTCGAACCATATTGTCGTCCAAAATTCTTGTTATTACCGATTGAATTTAAATTGGTTCTATTTTCATTGCGATAATTTGATTGTCTTGTATAAGGTGTTGGAGCTAATTGACTGGAAAACCACCAACGAAATAAATCAGTATTCACTTAGATGATTATAAGAAACGAGAAATTATCGTTAAATCACAGAAAATCACAATTAATACTAATAATTACCTTGAGGGAATAATAATCTAGAGAAATCAGGTGATAAGAAACTATTGGAAGTAATTGTATTATTGATTATTCCTATTTGGTCCATTGGAATCGGTAAACAATTAACTGGAACATCAATCATATAAAAGGCAGAAATTAAATAAATTAACCAGAGTGTATCCATTACTTAAATTGATTGTAATTTGAAAACGTAAAGCAAATTAATCTTCAGTGATTGGAATTGTAAACTACAACTGAATCAAAATGAAATTCGGACCAATATTTAAGCAAATTCATTGGTGTGAATTAATTAATTTGGTCAACAATTTCCTTGAGAAATGTTTATCTCTTTCTGATGATTATCGTCCATGAAAATTAACAATTATGACAATTAAATCAACTAGAATGATGTGCAATTTTTTCATTTGTATCAAAACCAATCAAGAAGCGAGTAAATAAACAAACAACATTTGAATTTAATTGCGAAAAACAATCAAAACTATCAATACATTTATGATCTTGAATTGATAATCAAGAATAAACTAAATTGAGATTATTACTGAAAGAGAAATCAAATTTATAAACATTTATTAATAACTCATTTTCCCAATGGTTTTCTGGTTAAATGATCAATTGATTGTGATAAAAACAAGCAAGTAATTATACTAAATTAAAGTAAAACAATCTAGATATTTTGATTGATCAAATTTTTTCAAGTTCATTTTGGTAATTAAACTGAGAGTGACTTTGTCTGTTGTTTGTCTATGTCAATTAATTAAATTCAATCTGATTGATTGATTAGTTTACCAGTAAATTGAGTTTCAATAATCTCAACCAACATCTTCAATTTACACAATTTAATTGTTTCATTTTAACGCATAACCGATGACCATTACAATTAAGTGTTGGAAACAACTTTCAAGGCAAAATTTGCTATTAAAATGTCTCAAATTGTCAAGGATTTGAAAAATTATGTCACTTAATTATCCTAATCGTCATCTTAACCAACCCTTTCAACTGATTGTGATTGTCGCAAGGTGATGATTCTTTTTATCTCTTTAATTGTTACTCTTTCTCTTTGTTTAATTATTTTGATCACTGGAGTTTCACCTCAAAATATTATCCATCAATTTGGATTCGAAATGATTAAGAAAGTTCCAAGTGGATTGAAGAAAATGGTTAAAAAGGTGAGATCATTTTCTTCAGCTGATTACAAACCATTAAAACGACAAAAATCAGATTATCGAAAGTTACACAATCAAAATAAACCGAAAAAACGAATGAAAAAGGTCAAGAGAGTTAAAAGTTCTACAAATGGTAAAATATTCAAAGGTCATGTTGATTGCGCGTTTTGTGGTCGACGAAGAGTAAAGAAATTCAAAGATAAACGCTTGTCCAGTTCTGTGGTATTTAATGAATTAGTTTTGAAAGAAAAAGGGAACAATTAACTGTGTAAATTAAAATTGATTATTTGACCAAATGGAAAACAATTTGTACCTGTGAATTAATTGATTGATACCAGGATACATCCAGACGTATAAAAGGCGAAGAAGAAACAAAAAACGTTCAATCGATTGTAAATTGATTAATTTCATCGTACAAATTGTAGCCTAGCAAAAATTTAAATATAAGTCCAGTAATTAAATGGATCTTTGCTAAATCAACTTCTAGGTTCACTTATTGTTGCTGGACTAAATTCTGATGGTGATTGTTGATTACCAATACTTTTCTCTCCAATTAAATCATTTTCAGCATTTTTAAGTGCCCATTGATGATCACTTATTTCTAGTGCTTCCCATTCAGCTTTAAACGCTTGTTTTGGATCTGGTGGCATCGCCATTGCAGCTCCGGACATTTGATCTTGCATCATTCGCGTTTGATCAGCAGCATTATTTTCGCCTAATACTAATGTGTAAATGCTTCGTAAACCGAAAACGTTCAAGAAATACCAACTCGCAGAGGAGACCCAACTTGCGTCTAAGGACATCAATTCAATTCCACGTTGTAACATGGGCTTGAATCGAAGTGTTAATGGAAAAGGTACTTTGGTACAGACGAATCCAGAGAAGGTCCAATTAATCCAACCTCCAATCAAAATCATTGGTAAAACATTGGTCAAGTTTCCTTTTAACATATCGGTCATCATTGATGGATCTGACATTGGATTAGGAGCTTGAGCAGGTCGACGAGATCCAGCTTTAAGGTAACCAGTTTCTTCATTATTTAAGTAATGTCGTCTCATTAGGAAACTCTGTGATTAAAATTAATTTATCTTCCAATTAGATTTCAACAATCAATAGGAAATGAAGGAAACAATATTGGTGTAAACCCTTCATGACAAATCTTATATCAATATCTTACCTGTTTTGGGATAAATTTACCATTTTCACGGAGATATCTACTTCTGATCAACAATTGACTGTCTTGTACTTGATGTAATTCAATATTTTTAGTGGATGAAATCAAAATGGACACATAATGACGAAGAATACCAAATAAAAATGAAATAATAACAATAGGTAAGAAAACCCAGGCTCGGATAGAAGTATCCAATAAAAGCTCACTCATTTCTTTTAAGACAACTGGATAAAGAGTAACAATAAATTATTTAAAAAAGAACCAAATTAAATAGAATCACTAACAGCTACAACGGGGTAGATATTAATCAAAACAAGAACAATTATTTTGATTTAAATCAACAGTCAAAAGGTTTAAACCAATTCCAATGAGAGATTCACTTTGCAAGGTAAAGGATAAGTGAAACTTGAATCAATTACCAAATGTCCGAAACGTTAGATAGAAAATTTTACTTGAAACAAAATTTAAGTGAGCTTCAAACCATCATTTTACTAAAAAATTATTAATTAATTATTTAGAAACAATTAAGAAACTAAATTAATTAGAAAAACTGAAAACCAAAACAAAATTAATTTTCTTTTCATCAAAAGAATAAATTTTCTTCATTTTCTAAATAGATGGCGACACTTACGATTTACCATATGATCGATCATTTTTTTTGAAGAAATTTAATTTTCTGTTTATGTTTGTTAATTGGTTTATTTTGTGATTAATTTACATCATGTATTATTTTTCTATTGTTTTTTGTATCTACTTAACATCTTCAGTATGTTTAGCTCAAGAAGGACCAATTTATGCCTCAGAATCACTTGTTAAACATTCGAGTATAAATACAATTGAAGGAAGAGTTTTCCAAGTCCTAATTCCTCTATTACACCTTCTTGGTTTATTGCTACTCGAATTATTGTTAATTATGGTCAATTTATTGGTTTTATGAAGTAAGTTAAATGATCGATTAAGAGTAAAACCTAATCACCAATGTGCACCAAATATATTCTATTAATGATTGTCTTTTTATCCTCATTTTAGGAGAGATGGGACATTTGAAATAAATAATGTTCCACCAGGATCTTATCTTGTTGAAGTTACTAATCCCGATTATTTGTATATACCAGTGCGAGTTGACATTAATTCCAAGGGTAAAATCCGAGCCCGAAAAGTGAATTACATTCAAACCTCTGCAGTGCACCAGGTTAATTATCCATTAAAGTTTAAGCCTCAATCATATTTCGCTTATTTCCAACAAAGAGAAACCTGGAGAGTAACAGATTTCCTTTTCAACCCTATGGTTATGATGATGGTATTACCTTTGATTCTGATCATGATTCTACCTAAGATGATGAACGCTGCTGATTCTGAAGCTCAGAGAGAAATACAAAACACTCAAATGCCCGATGTGCCTGAATTATCTGAAATGATGACAAATTGGTTTACCGGAGGAAATGCAGGTCCAAGTAAACAAATTACTGGTAAAGGGGAGAAGACGAGTAGTACCAAGTTGATTAAGAAAAGATGAAAATTGTCACTGGTTGAGTTAATTTTCACCATTAGTGATATTGTCTTGCTTTTTTCCTCTGTATTTGATTATTTATTGTCATGAAGTAAAACCTCTTGATCACAAACATTTTGCAATCAGTTTATTTCAAAACTAGTCTCATTCAATTTGGTTCAACAGAATTTATGATTTTAAATAACTATACATGTAATTGAATTGTAAGAGATTAAAATTCAGGTTCAGTTCGTCTAGCCTTTTTACGGATTTCTCTTACTTTTTCTCTCATTTCTTCAAGGGTTAAGTCGCCCATAGAGTGAGAAAAACGAGCTCGAGTAAGCTCACCATGGATATACTCATTTTCCGCTAATTCGTCATAATAACCCGCTGAGAAATCTGAAACATGACGACCACCAGTTTGCAAGACGGCCTGATCATCAGCTAATGTTTGTACGGTTTTCGTTGGGGGAATAAAAGCTCCAGCTACTCTACGACCTTCGTCTACTAGATAATTATAAGTAGCGACAGCGTCTTTAGTTGGTAAACACTCGGAGTTGATACCCTTGGATTGTAAGAATATCCTAGTTTCCAGAGGAATAGAATTACCAGGATCACCAAAGCCTAGAAAAAAATTAAAAAGCCAAAGTAAAGTAAATTAGTTGCAAAAGAAAAAACAATAGTAAATTTAAACTTACCAAACACAATTAAATCAACTTTAGGAACTAAAAGATAAAAGAGACTAGTTGAAGCTGGAGTTACTCTTGAGGCATCACCGACATTCCAAGAATACAATTGTTTGGGAAACAAAACAATTGGTCCTAAAAGGAAAAGATCGTTGGTTAATCTAAAACCAAGATCACTATAAGACATGACTAATAAACGATCAGCATCTTCTGAGGCCAAAAAGTTGACAATCATTTTACCCTCACTATGAACGTTCATTTGATTTCGTTTATTGTTGATCATAATCCGGTTGATTAAATTTGGTCGAGAAAAGATTCGATTCGAACATTTTACCCCGGAAGTTACTAGACTTCTGAGAATCTCCATTTTTAACGAAAAAACAATTATAATTTAGTAGAAATTGACTAATCAAAATTAGTAAACAATCAACAAGAATGAAAACTCAAATCGATTTCCATTTGTTTCCATTCAATGGTGACCCCTGGCGGAGAATTTGATTCGATATTCGATATTCGATATTGAAGATTCGATAGTCTCGATACTCTTTGGTGGCCACCATTTTTTCATCACTTTTTAACACTAACACATTTTTCTTATTTCGTTTATTTCAATTTGTGTCATCATTTTCTTAAACATTCAAGTTAATTTGATTACCTATTAACCTCTATCTCTGTGTCCATCAACTTGAAAACCCTTCTCATTGATTTAATCCAAGGTAAACTCTTGTCCATATTGTGTGTTGATTTGTTTTCCTCTTACTCGCTCACTATGGATGACGCATTTCCCTCATCTCAATCATTAGCAAACAAATGGAAAGATGAAGATCTAGACGATGATATTAAAGATAATTGGGACGATGAAGATGAGGAAGAAGAAGTAGTAATCGAAGAGAAACCACAACCTGTTAAGAAAAAGCCTTTCAAGGAAAGAATCAAGGAGAAAGATGAAAAACGACGCCAAGCAGAAGCTGAACTCGAGGCCTTAGCCAATAAAGTGAGAACACCTGAAGAAATATTAGCCGATAAATTGGAACAGCAAAGGTTGCAAGAAGAATCTGATCTTATGTTAGCAAAGGATACTTTCGGTGTCGGTGTCCCTTCTGGTTGCCTAAGCGATGTTGAACTAGTTACCAAAGCTAATTTTGAAGATTTTAGGAAACTTTTAGTGGACAAATTGGCAACAGCTGAGAAATCGCCTCTTTATGTTGGTTTTCTAGAAACACTTTTCCGGGAATTGTGTGTTGGAATGGAAGTTGATGACCTCAAAAGATTATCAAGTAGTTTGAGTGCTCTATATAACGAAAAAATCAAAGCTCAAAAGGTAACAATTTAATTTTCTCTTTTACGTTTACCTTTTACTCTAATTGTTCAATACATTTCATACTAAACTGACTCTTTCTCTTTCTCTCTCTTTTTACAGTCTGCCAAACCCAAGAAGAAGACTTTAGTTAAATCATCAATCAAATTAGAAAGAAATAATTTACAACCAGAATATGATGATGATTATATGAATGAGTATGAAGAGTTTTTGTAACCCTGGATAAATTACATTTAAATCTTTTTATTTGCTGTGTGGGTAATTTTTCATTTTGCAAGAAACAAAATGCTTAAGCATATATAATATACATACAATTACATATATAATATTAACTAATTAAGAGATTGTTTGATCAATTTTAACATTTTTCCACAGCTTTCAATTGTTACCGTGTTAACTTTAAATGTTTATATTTTCAGAGAAAATATTAACTTTCAATTTGTTTATTCACCATAAACAAGTCCAAAAGGAATTACATTGTAATCGGTAAAAACAATGGTGATGACGATTTGATTGTCAAGAGGAGTCTTCATTATTATTGGAAAATTATCTCGATAACGTTTAATTATCTCAATATGATTACGATCACAATCACTTCTATTCACCGTATTTCTTATTAACTCTTCATGGTGGAAGCAATTTTAGTTAATCTGATTTTCGTTAAATTGTCCAGAAAAAAAAGCGTAAACAAAAATAAAGAAGAAACAAGTTAATCGTTAGAGTTCAAATTGTTACTTTTATTTGTTAATTCTAATTGTTGCTTCTAATTATTTGGACAAACATATCATCTAATCGGTTACTCGAAAGTTCCATAAAATTTGTAATTCTTTGTTCCTACGGAATTTGTACTACTAAATAATCACCAGAAGAATTTGCGTTAATCATTAATCGGTTGATTTGTAATGTTTTTCGGGAAGATTTCTCAAAGTTGCAGCAGCCTTTATGTAAGAAGAATCAAAGTAAAATCAATGTTAAATTGTTGTTAATTGCGATGAATTTACATTACCTGTTCGGGTGTAATGTCTCTCTGGGGTTGTGCTAACATCTCATATCCAACCATGAATTTCTTAATTGTGGCAGAACGAAGTAGAGGTGGATAATAGACCGCATGAAGAGTCCAATGGTCAACATTTCGATCGGCATATTCACCGGTAGGAGCGCCTTGAGAAAAGAGAGAACAATTAACTGATTGTTGGATGGAGAATCAATTGTTTTCACTTACCATGCCAGCCCATTGAATAAGGAAAAGACATTTTGAATAAATTGTCATAACGAGTGGTTAATCTTTTCATTATATCAGCTAATTGTTCAACTTGATTTTCATTTAAATCATTTAAACGTTTTACTTGTTTCTTGGGAATAATCATCGTCTCGTAAGGCCAAACTGCCCAATAAGGGACTACAACAGCCCAATGGTCATTTTGAGTTACCAATCGTTCACCTGATTTCAACTCTTCGAGGAGATAATCAATCAGTAAGTTTGTACCCGTTTTAGCGTAATAAGTGGCCTGAGATTTGTCTTTTTTCATTGGTTCATTGGGCAGAAATGACGAAGCCCAAATTTGACAATGAGGATGAGGGTTCGAACAGCCCATCATTTCCCCCTTGTTTTCAAATATTTGCACCCAAGTAAATTGTTTACCCAAAGTTGTCAATTCGCTAATCCAAATCTTAATAACTGCGATAATCTCATCGATCGTCATTAAAGGTAACGTTATGTTTGACTTCGGGTGGAAACAGATTACTTTACATTTACCATTCGCTGCGGCTGATTGGAAGAAAGGACTTGTACTTTTCTCAGGAATCGGCACCGATTCGAGTAAAGCTGGAAAATCATTGTCGAAGACAAAAGTGGAATCGTAATCAGGATTACGTTGACCATTCGATCGAACTGAACCTGGACAAAGTGGATTAGTTTCGTCGCGTTCAGGTATCGTCACGTCTTTGTGTTTCTCTACTTGACCACTCCAAGGTCGTTTAGCTCGATGAGGCGATACTAAAATCCACTCTTCGGTTAACGGATTAAAACGAATGTGTTGATGCTCTAATCAAGAAAATGGAATCAAAACAATTTTTCAAATTCTAATTTACATAAAATTCATCAAAGAAGATAAACTATAAAAAAGAATTGAATCTTACCTGTAGCGATGAATTTTTCTTCCATAATGATGAGCTTATATTTCGTAATAATGTGACGATTTAATCATAGAAATTAATTAGAAAAAGATGTTAATAGAATTGAGAACAATGAATGGAACTTGAGCTCGTCAATCAATCTCTTTGATTCGATCAGCTGTGGATCTTTTTTCTTCATACCGATTTATCGATTTTATTTTATCATTTTTTTTGTAATTAAAAAGCACTTAATTAAAGCTCATCGATCAGAGATATCAATTAACTCCTATTGTTGTTTGTGTTCATCGGGATGATTGAAATAGCAACTTGATCACCGGTTGATTTGAACTCCTTTTAATTGGTTCTTTAATAAACACTTTACATTAATATAAATTATGATTTAGTGATTTTCTATTGATGAAAATTTGTGGAAAATGATTATTTCATTTTTCTATTAGATTTTCGCATGAACTTCTTTCGTAACTGTTTTCGGAACATTCGCTTCTTGGACGATCCTTTGCTTGGTCCTTCGTTTTTTCTCTTTCTTGATTCTCCTGAAAATCGGTCCGATTTATTTGTATTATCTGAGTTTATCTTTGTACCAACTATTTCCACTTCTCCGTCATCTTCGTCCTCTTCTTCCTCTATCTTTTCAGTTTCATCTTTAGTTTCATCGCTTTCCTTCAATTCAGTATCTGGCTTCATCTCGATGTCTTTTGTTTCTTCGTCAGGATCACTTCGCAAACGTTTTATTTGTCTTTCACCATTTTCATCATCTTGTTCAATATCATCTGTCGTATCAACTGTTTTTCCAGCTTCTGGATCAAATAAGGCACTTTTAATGAATCTTTTAGCTACTGGAATGTTAAGTTTAGGAGCTTTAGATGAGTCTTGTAATTTTTTCAATCTCAAGTTGGCTTGTTTGATACGATTGATTTCCAGCCTAAGATCATGATTTTTCGGGTCCACTCCTTTACACGTTAAATAAACTGAAGAAAAAACAAATTAAATTGTAGAAAATTAAAAAGTTTCACATTGGACAATCTTTATACTTACGCCAGAATAATGAGTTGATTGTAAAAGTCGTCGTTAAATCAAGAGCAGCCTCTTCCAAAGCGTTTCCTTCAATAGTTTCACGAATAGAATCATATTTAGATAATAAATTTTGACAATCACTTTTAAGAGAAGACATTTTTGTTTTAAAAGTATTCAACCGATTCTTCAAAGCAACAGGAATCTCCATTTTCAAAATAAAAGCCAAAAAGCAAAACTCGAAAAGAAAATGTTTGCTCGAGAAAAAATTGAAAGCCAAAAACTCTGAATTACTCCAAAACTCCAAACGTAATAAATATCAAATTTTAAATGAAACAATCAACAAATCATTAGGAAAAATCCAATCAATTAAATTGATTAAAATTAAATTCACATGTTGAGATTGAGAAAAAAACAAAAAATTGTCAGCTGATTAATTCCGGGGACCGTATTGTCATTGCGAAGAATAAAATCTTTTTAAATCAACTGATTGCAAATTAGAAACAATTAACAAATTAAATTGAAAAAAGAGTAAATGAATTCATAGAGAGAAGGTTAAATTGATATAACACCGATTTAATTTTCAACTTTAAGACTGATCATTTAAAAGTAAAACAGGTAATTAGATTTTCTTTTCGTTGGAAATAATTTCCGATATTGAGATTTGAACTTTAATGGATAAGTGACCTGAAGATCAAGTAAAAATCTAATTTTATTCACATTTCGTAAATGATATTAACATTCTGGTCAATTGCCTCGATTGATGACAATTAGAAACCCCAGTCAATCATGACAGAAAAAATGAAAATTATTCATCAACGATTGGCAAAAAAACTCAATAGAGTTCAAATTAAAGACATTAAAGATTAAAGTGACCAACAATAAGAAATGGAATAAGAAAGAAATACAAATCAGTTGTTAAGCAGAAATAAATTGTTTCTATTAATCAGAATCAGAGGCGAAAGTGAGATGAAATGAACGGAGGCAAAAGGATTCGCCGAAACCCGGGATTGAACCAGGGACCTTTAGATCTTCAGTCTAACGCTCTCCCAACTGAGCTATTTCGGCTTCGATGAAAATATCCTCAGAGATATAATTGATAAATCTAAAGTTAATCTCTAAGAATTTCGATTCAATTTTTCATATGCTGATCTCGATGAAAATTATTGAATAAAATGTTCCGTTGACTTATTGGGTGATCTTAGATTCAGGTATGATTTCTGTATATTCCATGGGATAAATTGACAAACATGTTTTGGATTATGAGGGTTAATTGTTTAATTGATTGTTAATTAAAATCCCTCTCCAATAATGTTAAATGGTTTTAAATAATCCAGGAAAGATTATTGACAATTAAAATTAATTATCACAATTTGTCTTCTCTCCTTTCATTTTACTATTCTTTATAAAATTGAAGTTTTTCTTTTGCTTAATTTGGTAAATCTTCGTCTTTCTTAATGATTATGAGTTCGAGAAGTAGCGCTTCTGAATCAGAGGCAACCCCACGGAGAGATTCTTTCGAAAGTGGATCTTCAAGGAGAGTTGAGACTTCGTTGTCTCCTGCAAGTTCACGATCATCTGTGGTCTCTCGAACTCCATCTCCATGTCCATCTCCAAGGCCGGTTGCTGGAAACTCTTCTTTACTCTCTACCACCGGCGGGACCAGTTCGGGCAACCAAACACCCTCTCAGTTGTTGACTCAACTTCGAGAGTTGGTTGAAAGTGAACTCAAATGTGCTATTTGTCAACAGTTGATCCATCACGCTGTTAATATCAATTGTTCACACACCTTTTGTAGCGGATGTTTTACCCAATGGAGAAATCATAATGGGCAGTGTCCCGTTTGTCGCGAAAATTATTCTAACCGGTCAAGAGTTTTACTGGTCGACAATTTGATAGATCGATATTGTCAATTGTTTAATATTAAAAGAGAGCGACGGTCACCGAATACAAGCCCAGCAATGAGTACAGCAAGTTCAGCGGAAACTAATGAATCTTGGGGATCCGCTGTCATTTGGCCTGATTCACTTACTCGGACTGTTGCGGCTCCTAGTGTTAGGAATACTGGTATGAATACATCACCCATTTCATCTTCTCGTGCTAGTGTTGTTTCAAGTAATTCTGGTTCTCAGGCGATTAGTCGTCAATCAGTTAGTTCGAGAAGTGATAACATGTCAGCATCTCCGGTGAGACATGATATTGTTCAAAGAGCTCGTAGACTTTCAGGTCCTCGTCTACGACAAAATCAAACTCAAACTCTAACTCAATCTCGACCAAGAGGTAGAGGTAGAGGTCAATCAAGAGGCCAAAGGAGAGGTGCAAGAAGAGCTAGAGCTGGACTGAGAGGAAGACGTGGTGTCTCATTAGAATTGCAACAGTTGAACGATCCAAGATTTCGACCACGGCCAAGACCACGAAGACAACAACAACGAGCCCAGAATTTGTCGAGCCAAGAACGATCTTCATCTGATGAAATTTCATCGCCGTTCATTAGTTCAACTGTTAGCAGAGCTCAAAGAGGAAATCAGTCCAGAGATGAACATGACTCCAGCGATGATTCCAGCGATTAACTCATTAGATACAATTGATTACAAATTAACAAGAAATTAAATTTTCATCTTTAAAGATACGAAAAAAACAAGATCATGTTGATTTTTACGATGAGGATATGGTGGTGAGTGGTAATTAGTAAATAGCAAATTAATTTTTTTTCGCGATTTCAACAATCATTTTTTAATTTCACTCTCCAAACATCAAATCTATGATTAATATCTGGATTAGTGTGAAGCTTCATTCGTGATAGAGCTAAATCATTAGGACATCCATCTTTTAATCTAGTTGTTGATTTAATTTGTTCCTCCAAGAAAAATATTCGTTTTATCCTCGAATGTAAAAGTCCCATGGAACACATTATACAAGGTTCTCGAGTTAGATAAACATCATACCCTGTACAAAGATACGCATCAGGATCATGATCGGTCGTCATAATTAAGGATAACGGTCCATCAATTGATTGATTTTCTTGATTGTCCTTCTTATACCAAGATCCACCACCTTGGAGAGATGATATTAAATCAATTAAATTCATTGGACAATGTCTTAGTGGATGTCGATCAATGTGATCACCACAAATGACCAGAACATTAAAATTCGAATCAACGATTGCACCAAAATCTCGATAATTATTTTCCATTGATCTTTTCACAAGATCTCTCATAATTGAATCGATAGTCCATCGATCATTTAAACTGATACAAGTTCCATCAAGTCTCTGAGTAATTCTGACGATAAACAATTCAAGTAATTGAGTTAATTTCTGTTCTCTACAAGTACAAATTCAAAGTTAATCAATTGCTCATTTCTTACTCTTTATTCTCGAAAAAATTGACCGGCCATAGTTTCGATGCTTTTTCAAACTGCCAACGATTAAAAGGTGGCCCATTTGGTACCGAAACGATCTTTAAATCAGTATAATCAATCGAATTTGCTAATTTTCTTTCAATTTGATCAACTGAAGTCTCGCATTCTTTACATATGATTATCTCATTGGTATCCGACTGTTGATTGTTTCTAACTCGCTTCAAGTGAATCAAATCTTTCGGGATTGGAAACAATTTAGCTAAACTGCGAATAGCTGGTGATATTGATTTCTTGTCTTTCAAAATGGCCACAAACACTTTTACTATAATTAGATAAAGATAATTAATTTAATAGAAACTTAAAGAGATTAATGTTTACCCTTGTGAATATCTCGAGTCTCATATTGATCAGCAAGTATAACATTTAAATCAATTGGAACATTTGAATCAACATCTTTAAAAGTTATCGATTCCATGAAAATCTAACCAGGGAAAATGATGGAAAAAAAAAGAAACAATTAAATCAACAATCAGAATTAAATTATCTCGAAATGTTGTTACCCAAACATGTGATTATCTTCAAACATTGAAAGATAAACTCTCATGAGGGTATGAACAAGATACTAATTAGATGAATAAACTTGCTTGCGATTTTTAAACAGACAAAGGATAATAAATAAATTGTTACAATTAAAAATTGTAAATAAAAAGAAATCAATTGTGAGCAAATTACCTTTTAAATTGTAGATTCTCAATAACCAGAAAATTGAAATGAAGGAAAACCATATAAGTAGAAATAGGAAACCAGTAGCTGTTGTAATTGTCTAATTAAGTTGATGAATATTGACAATCTATTTGTTAAACAGTCTAAATTGTTAATTTTGATAAATTCAATATAAGAAATCAATCAATTAATTAATATCAACAGTCCAATTTACAGACAACATTTGACAGCAAAGGGAAAAAGTGATTCCAACACATTGAATGTTAATCGAAACAAATGAAACGATTTAAAGAGAAACACCAATTAGCAAAATTCAAAGAAATCAGGTTTAACTAATTCAGAAAAGAATCAGATAATTAAGTTAATTACAAAATTGAAAAGAACAATAAAAAAATGAAAAGAAAATGAATTTTGAACAAAAAGGTAAACAAAAAAGCTCTTGAGTCACGTGACCACTTTGTTGTTGTTTCTTTCAACAGAATCGTCATCACAGACAAAGAGACTTTGGTATTTTCTGTTTCTCTTTCAATTCCATGGGATCATTTTAATTTCTTATCCTTTTAGTTCAACTAATCCAGTGATCGTAAGTGATTATCCCCCCCCTTTCTGGATACCACGATGAAACAAATCTACTGACTTTGTCAATGAGAAAAGATCAATCATCTTACCCTTTATTCAGCTAACATTTTGTAACCACTTTGATTGTGTAACAGAAACACAGTCAACCTTTGGTTATTTTTTTCTCTCTCTCATTTTACTTTCTCTCTCACCTTTGTTTTTTCTTCAACCACCTCCATCATCTTTGCCATCATTTGCTCGTCATCTCACCATCAATACTTAAGAGAAAAATTGTTACCAAATTAGTGAACAATTAATCCAATGTGTGTGTTGTCTTTTCTATTGTGATAATAAAACCTGGTGAGTCTTTTCCTCTAAATTAAATCTCCTTTGGTTTAAATCTTTTTTTCTCTCTCTCATTTTCTATCTAAAGGTCATCACCTCAACACACGGTTTTATCTGATCATCTGAATTCATCACTGGACTAATTGTGTTTACAATTTACTAGTTTCATCATTGTCATTGATAATTTTCGCATCTTTGTTCACCCTCACCATGTTTTCTTCATCAGAAATTGAGGAGCAGCCACATTCACCTTCATCAATCTCCCAACATGATTCTCCTAAGAATGATGATGAAGATGAGGTTGACCCTCAAGTTGAATTTTGTGCATTAAGCAGTCGATCCCTTCAACGCCCAAGTGACCATTATATTCCACCTCCAAGACGTTCTCACATCGCCAGTAGGCTTCTTCGCGATCCTTGGACAACCGCTCTAACCCAATTCTCTAAAGTTACCAATTATGTTCTCAGTCCATACGAAGATGGTGAAGGAATTATTCGTAATACTTTGCGAGATCCTTTAGGCTATGCAAGGCATCGAGAAGAAAACGCTCATTACGGAAATCGACAAGAATATAATCAGGAGCCCATTTCACATCCTCCACCGGCTCTTCCACAAATTGATTGTTCGATCCCACAACAACGATTACCACCATTGACAGAAGATGAATACCAAGAGAAGTACATACATTCATCACGACGACATCTTCTTGACCGCATTTGTAAAGGGGTAAATATTATCTTCTAATTGATCCTCCTCCTTAAACCTTAATCCACTTCAAGTCCACACCTTATTCAATGCTCTTCCTGATCTCAACCATCGTAAGTTAATCTTGAACAAATTCACTTTCATTTTGATTGACTTGAAAAGATGAGTTTTCCTCCTTTACTATGAGCCTGATTGTCGGTTGAAAATTTCTTGACCGCGGTCAACTAATTGTCTCTTCATCATCATCGTCATTATGTCCTCTTTCATCAACTCATTTTAACAATTAAAATGTTATAAGATCAACATCATTCCTTATGAATGTTTTGTATCTTTTCACTCTTGTTTTCTGTTTTAATTGTTACCGTTGTTTTAAAGGTTAATTTGTTTAGTAAATTGTGAGTATCTAAGAGCCATTTAATCAGCACAAACTTTCATCACAATTCAAAGTTAATTTACGTTTGATTGTCATTACCATGATTAACTTACAAAAGACAACGTGTTTCTATCAGTTAAACTAATCAATTCTATTGTATTGTTACAATCAAGAAAAAAAAAGAACTAAATTAACATAAAATCTATTGTCTCTTCCTTGATTGTCTTAGTTAAACTTTAACAATAATTAATTGTGTTAGTTGATTAAACGAAGATGATTATGGCCTTTTGAGGGAAAGATCAAGTAATAATCTAATTAAAATCTAATCCAGTCTCATCCTCGATCTTTAAATTTTTTTTTCTCAACTCATTTAATTGTCTCTTCAATCAGCTGAATTGAAAATGAATCATCAGAAAGGTGATTAATTGTTGATGATCATATGATTTACAATTAATATTCTCACCATCATCGTCATGTTTATTCAGTTTTTCATTAATCATGATGATTAAAACTCTATTGTAAACAATTGATACATATGATATTTCATGTTACCGGTGGAAACCTCCACCTCCTCCATGGTCCCACCATGCGCCTTGTTGCCAATTAATCAATCAAATTGTTTCATTTTCAGTTAATTGTGATCAAACTTAAACTTCTAAGAATTTAATTCGCGTTGAACTCAGTTAATTTTTGAATATCCAATTGTTATTATGATTGTAACAATTCCCTCTCCGATCTATTTAACCAATTCTTACCAATTGAACACAATTAACCAGCAATTTAATGTTGACCATTTCAACAATTTGATTTTTAATCTCTTTCGGAAGCTGATTTAATTTCAAATTACCAACGGATGTAACTAAATCATAATTATCATAATCATGATGATCATAATTAAAATTTACTGTTGCTCATTTCCGCGCAATTAACTTTAATTATTCAATTCTAAAATGTTATTAATTATTCATAATCATCTGATCACAATTTAAACTTTGATATTTTTTTCTCACTATTTAAATTGGTGAGAAAATAATTCGCTAATCATCAATGTCATTATCAGAATTGATTTAATCAGATTAATTTGCATCAATTGTTGATTATGATTGATTAAAAAGCTCAAATGTTGGAATACAATTAACTAATTGGATAGATGATGAATTAAAATCATTTGAAAGTTCATCAACCATTTGAAATGATGCTAACAGATTAATTTGATTGTAACTTAATTAAATTAATTTACTTAATTGATAATATAAATAGTAATTAACTTTTATTATTAAATTTAGCCTTTACAATTAATAAAACCATTGATTAATTAATCAGTTAGAATATCTAATTAAATTGTAGGTTTGGACAAGATGAAAATTAATTTAAATTTTTTTCTTTAATCATTAAATCAATATAATCATCATCTTAATCGTAACTAATTGTGTTCATCTGATTAAGATTTAATTATAATCACATTGTTATTAGTTGAAAATTAATCATGAAATAAATACAATTTTGTTTTAATGATGATACAGTTTTGATTATATATTTAAATTAATTGTAATTTAGTTAATCAACATTTTATATTTAGAGTTATGATCAACAGAATGGTAATTAAATTAACTCAAACAATTTGATTCCTCACGAAACAACAAGCCAACTATTTAATTTTCATCATTTCTTTTTAATTACTGATCAATTATTTCAATCAAACTCCTTATCCATTGATTATATCATCAAAATGAAAGTTAATTATAACAATTAGACAATCTGATATTGTTAACCACAGTGTCTATATAATTGATACAATTTGGTTGATTTTAATTTAGTATCAAGATCAACTTTAAATTGTAATTATCAAAATTAGCATTTAAGATGATAACAATTTAAGATTCTGTTTGTTCTAGTCAAATACAATCAAATTTGATTATTTATAATTAACTTTATTGTAGGTGTATTAGATTACTTGTTTACCATCAACATTAATTTCACAATTAACTTAATTTTTTTCTAATTTGATGAGATAATGATGTTTACATTTTGTAGATGAGTTTTAATTGTGCTGATCCTAAATTAAATCAGCTAACACAATCAAGAGGGTAATTATTGTTGCCCAATTAACATATCAAACTTTTCTTTATACAATCGATTGACAATAAATTGCTAGATAATTATGATTATATAATTAGACTAATCGAATATTTTAACAACAAAATCAAGTAATTACGATTTATATTTTTGATCGATTAATTGTAACTTTCAATTTTTAATTGTGACTCTCATGATGTTGATATGATTTTTAACTTGATTGTTAGTTGAACTTTTTAATTCTCATTTCTGATGATCAAGATGATTTCTTTTTAATCATAATTAAGATTATCATTAAATTTTCGCTCTACTTAAATTTTGATTTCTATCAACTTAATTTAACCCAAAAGTTATTTATTATTAACAGTTAATCTGGTTCACTTTCGGTTAAAATTTTCACCCACAATTGATGATAATCAACTAATGATAATTAACAATCTGATGATTGTTATAACGATAATACCTTGTTTGATATTGTATTACAATTAATTTCTGATGATAATCACACTTTTTTGATTACAATTTAATATCTCTCATGATCTTGCTTCTGATAAACATAATCATAATTGTTGTAAAAAACAATCAACAGCAAAAAAATGATTGTTTTATACTTGATAAGTGTTAATTGTTGTGATAATTTTCACCATTAAATTAAGTAGACACGATTTTTAATCAACAATCAATCCAGTAAAAATTTTGTTGAGATTAACTGATTAATTTTAACAAAACGTTGATTGTTTCACTTGTTGATACTTTTTTTTTAATTAACTATCAATTTTTTTCATTGTTTGTATCTTGTTATGTGTTTTTTATTACTTGAGTTGATGTTATTGCTGAAAAATGATTATTATGATTAATTTGATTTAGAAGAATTAAAAAAATTTTGATCGTCCAATTCACTGTTAATCTGATTTAGTTGATTGTTATCTTGTTATTATGATTAAGACAATTAAGAGCATATCAAAACTGATTAGATTTGCTTTCACCATAGTTAACACATTATTAACCAAACCCTATCAAAATTAAAATGCTTTTCACTGAATTAATTGTAGTTAAATTGTTTGGTGATAATAATCATCATAATAATAATCATCATGATAACAATTAGAGATCAAATCAAATCAAATCAATTGATTAAGACTCCTTCCTCTTTAACAACACCAGTTGATAAAACCAAAACTAAACAACAATCAACAATGAACTTGATTTAATGTTTAATTGTCTTGATTTTTTTTTCTTAATTGTTAACAATTTAGGGCATTGCAAGTCACTCATTACGGCGTAAACTATGGCCAATTGTTTTGGGAATTACTGAAAAAAATGATAATCTTGATTGGTCACAATTAAAATCACTTTACAATTACTATTCTAACCAATGGAAAACAATTTTACCAGATCAAGAATCAAGATTTACTGCCTACCGAGAGCGTAAATCATTAATTGGTAACTATTATTATTATTACAACAATTTACTGATTGTATTTAATACAAAGAGATTATCATTTAAAAACATTGGCCTACAACATAAATCATAATCTAAAAACTTTTACAATCAACAATCAACAATTAGTCTCAATTTTTATCACTTTACCTCATCGTGATTAGACCTAGTTGAGTTTTAATTGTTGATATTAATAACCAACACCTAACCCCTACCAAGACTATTTCAATAGGTTATTATTATGATTGTTATCTAATTGTTAATCAACTGAATTGATTGTTGATTAAAAAAATCACCATTGGACATCAAGTTGTTACAACAACCTGACGATTGTTATTCCAATTTTTTTTTACTTTAATTCAGTTGATTGTTTTTATCCTACACTCGACTTAAACTATTTATTGTTTAATTGTTGAATTCTAATCTTGATTAATTAATTAATTACAGACAGAGATGTTGTTCGTTGTGATCGAACTCATTTTTTCTATGCCGATTCAACTGGTAACCTCGAGAGACTCCGACATCTCTTGATGACTTATATTATGTACGATTTTGATACTGGTTATGTTCAAGGTAAGTTAACAATTAACTAATTGTCCATCTAAATGGGAAACGATGTTAATAACAGTATGACCAATGAAAGATCAGCAGGTTAATTGTTTGGTTGATTATTAATTTTTTTCACTATTGTAATATTGATTGTGATTTAGATGATTAATCAAAATTTCAATAACGAAAATTAAAATGTTGTTCAATTGTTTACAATTTAAAGTTCTCAACCGGTAAAATCAGAAAATAATTTTTTCTTCAACAACAATTTAATATTTTTACTTATTTTCTGTTATCAAGAATCATATCGACAACTATCAACAATAACTGTCCTCAAAATGAGTTTCCATTAATTACAATTAACTTTACTAATAATCAATGATTAACGTTGAAAAAATGTCATCTCTTTTTGTACTCAATGTATTACAATTGCTGACACAGTTTTTAATGTTTAATTGGTTATATTTATTTGATATCAAATTGTATCATTTTTTTCCCTCAATTGTTGTCAAATTGTAACAATTTATTAATCAAACAATTTTGTCAAACAAATGACAGGTATGACTGATTTAGCAGCTCCTTTACTTTATGTCTGGGACGGTGATATACCCAAAGCCTTTTGGTGTTTCGTTCAAATGATGAATCTTTTTGTAAGTTGACAATCATAATTACAACAATTAATCTTTATAAGAAGAACAAATTAAAAATCAATATATATTAACACCTTAAAATGATTACAATTAATATCTAATTGGTTTACTTTCTTTTTTTTCCCTCATTATTTAGAAACGTAACTTTGAATTGTCACAAAAAACAATGAGCAATCAACTGAAAGCACTGCTCAAATTAATTCGGATAACTGATCCAGTTTTTGCACAATATCTACGTAATTATTGTTTAATTAATTGTTGATGAGAATTGTACATAAATTAGTTTGATTGTCGTCTAATTTTTCTGTTTTTATTTGATTCCCGATTCTTAGGTACCAATGATTCTGAAAATTGTTACTTTGCCTTTCGTTGGATAATTTGTCTTTTCAAACGAGAGTTCATGAAACGTAAAACCGATGATTATGACGATGTTTTAATTGTTTGGGAAACAATTTGGTCAGTCCATTCGTTAGCTTGTTACGAGGAGTCAAAAGAGGAACCATTTGTTGACCAGTGTCTTTCACCAATTTTAGCCCAAATCCAAAAGTCTCAGAAATGGATTTCAGCTTGGGATGATTCTGATTATCTTTTCAAAACCTCATCAACTGAATCATCAACAACATCATTAACTGCCGACGGTGTTACAACTGTACCATTCCCGATGAAAGGTTCAACTGATTCAGCCAATGGCGAGGTTGGTGGTACAACGACAGTTAAAAATAACTCGGAACCATTTGATTTATATTTAAACCGATCCAAGGAAGCATCTATTACAATTAAATCACCTGATAAAAGTGGTGACACTGATGGTGATGCTGATGAAGTGGATCGACCAGGGCAATGGCGACAATTAAAATCACCACCACCCTCAGCACAAGAACCTCCAATAGGAGATTTGATAACAACCGCTACATCAACTATACCAACAACAACAGCAACAATAACGACAACCATGTTGACCTCACCAACACCAATCAATAAAACCAAATCAATATTGATTCATCCTCCTCCCAAACCAAGGCCAGTCCTGTCCAGTTCACCTCGACCACCGGGTGCAAATATTTACTCCTATGCTCTCTCACCACCAGTTCGAGAAATGTATTTACATTCAACGGGCAACGATAATTCAGAGTTTCTACTTTGCTCACCGAGTTCAGCGGGTTCGAAAGGTTCAAAAGGTTCATCTATTGAGGAAATCAAGAGACTCACCCCGGTGGGTAACCATCCGGGTGGAGCTGTTCCTGTAGCCTCGACCAATCAGCAGGGTAAATCAGAAGTGCATGAGACAATCAGTAAACAATCAGATACATCAGATGATCTCAAATTATATGAATTTGACCAATTAGCTGTTGAAAGTGCCAATAACAGTAATCGAACTGCGAAACTTGAAAATTTTGAACTTTTCTGTCTCTGTATTTCATTGGCAATCATAAGGCGAGAACGAGATATTATCCTGATAAAAAAATACGAAGCATCAGAAATTCTTAAGGTAAGTTAATTAAATTGATTAAAAAATTGTATCACAACAATCAAGATAATCATCAAAATGAGAAGACAAGTATTTAAAGTTCACAGAACTTGAGAATCTTCAAATGATGTGAACAAAATCAGAACAGAAAAACAATTTCAATTCTGTTTTCAGGATAAAGAAAATTTTTCATTCTTTTCCCCTGATCACTTTCTTCAGACTTGTTTTCTCACCTTATCATCTTCATCACACTTACACCAAATGAACCTTGACACTTACCTCTCAAATTATCATATCAACTAATTGTTTCACTTTATTTCCTGTCTCTCTCTCTCTCTCTCTCTCTCTCTCTCTCTCTCTACATTTTTATCTCTTAATATCATGTTAATCTCATCCTGACTTGAAATGAAAACATCGGTGGTTGATGATCATTACTAATATCGTGTTTGTTTTCATTGCTTCAATTGACAATTATGCTGAAATTTCACCGATTGTTGATTTTTCACCTTAAACCTCGTTAATTGTTGATCAACTTTTAACAACACGAATCATGATTAGCACTTCAATACACTCACACTAAATGAATACCTTGACAGCATTTTACTTCATTCGATGACAATTTGGCATTGGTTGAAACACGACGGAGGTGAAAAGTCACTTTACTCTGATGATGAAAAACCAGGTAACACAAGTAACGATGATTTTGATTTACTCAATGATGCTGATGAAGTTGATTGTCATTTCGCTGCATTATCTGTATAATCATCATCATCATCATCATGCTCATGATTATCACCTACAACTGGTTCACCAATTTGGTTTATTGGAATCAATCAAAAAGATATCAAATCATCATTAACATCTTAATAATTTGACAACAAATAAATTTTATGCTCTCACCAATCATCATCAACATTATGATCATGATAATTATTGAAAAAAAAACTATAACAATTAACTCTTCATTCATTAATCTACATATTGTTTTCCTTTTTTGCAATTCATTTGCTTCAAATCAATAACAATTTGATTCATCAACAATTAAGATCTAAAATTATAATCAGACTTTTGTATTTATCTAAACAATTAGTAAATCATGATTGATAATAATGATTATCTTATTACAATAAAATGAATTAAATATTTTTCTTCAATTTTTCAGCCTTAATTGTTTTCATTTCTGATCAAAAAATTAACAATAAGTTAATGGATTTTTTTTTTCAAATAAATTTAATACAAACGTTGATTGTGATTAGTATTCATAACCACGGTAGTTTCAATTAGCATGATAATTAACAACCACAATTAAAGTTGAACTTTATTGTTTACCAAATTCATGGATTACCAAAGTTTCTCGTTGACAATTTAAGCAATTGATTCAATTGTGAGAAGGCACAATTAAACTTCAATTCAGGTTCATCTTGATTATAATTACTTGATTAATAATAATCAAGTAAAAGGGTTTTAATTGGGAGTCTCAATATTCACAGCCTATTTAATATAATCACTGACCTGGGCTACATTTTTTTTTCATCGCAGTCATGGTCATTGTCAACACAATCAACTGACCTTTACCAAATTAATTCTTGAAAATTGTTGATCACAATAATCAGGATAATGATTAAGATGAAATATTTGGTTCCCAGGTAATTGTAGCGAGAAAAGAGAAACAAAATGTTTGACCAAATTAATCTGCATCAATCACAATAAAAGTTAATTCTGTTGGGCCTGATAATCAAGCACCGATGTTGTTTTCTTTACACCTTCACCATTTTCATCTGATAATCATGATTATCTTTATCCATCATCATCATCGTAATAATCATATCTAATGACGACCCCTTTATCCAATTCTCAGTAACCAGTTTTCCTTCAGTTAATCATAAACAATCATGGTAATAAAGCTCCAATTGAATCAGTTGAATATCTGAATGGTTCATGAAAACAAAAAGTTCAAATGAGAAACATGCAAATTCAAAATCAATACAAGTAGTTACCTGGAAAAGATATTCATTAGTTTATAATGACAATAATTTGTTGTTAATCTATTAGATTAATTGTTGCTTCATTATCCTTTTACCATATTAAATGAGTCAATTAATCAACAATTGGTGAATTGATTGTATACCATCAATTCTGTGTCAATGCTGTTAATCATAATGACGATGAATTGATAGTGTCATCCGGCTTGTTGAAAGAGACAAAGTGTCATTAATTGTTTTGTTGTAGGTAGATAATAAAGCAACAATTAAGTCAAGAACACTATTGACCAGTTTTCGGTAATTATCATTGTTTACTATTTGGTAACATAATTAGTAAACGATAATTATTACCATCAACATCATCACCAAGAACCTTTTATGGATTAACCTTGAATGTAAAGGTAACTCAGATAGTGACGATTATTTTGATGACGATCAGTTAACCAAATTATCCAAAATCGGAAAGATAATCTCACACAATCAAATTAATTGAAGTTTCTCTCACATCCTTGAAGATTAACTTGTTGATAGTTGAAGATGTGTTGGGATATTTTAATCACAAATTCCAAGGAGAAACTGTCTCTTTGTTTACATCACATGAAGAATATTGTTTTCTCTTTTATGGATACTATTTAATAACTGAAATTTAAAAGAATTTTTTGATTAATATTAATTTTTGCAGAAAAAATAATTTCTTTCCAAACTTCTCGTCAGATTAAAGGGAAAACCTTTTGCCCAGAGACAAGAAAAAAAAGGTAATAGGGCAAAAAGAAGACCAATCAAAATGTCGGAAGCGAAGAAGAAGAAATTATATAAAAAAAGAACATGATTGTCAACCATATTTATTGTTTACTTACTTGGTCCTTGAAGATGTTCAATTTTTTCATCTTGTTTCTCTTCAATGTAATAACATTCCAAATGATGATGATGATAGTTGGTTAATAAAGAGAGCGAAGAGAAATGTTGATGATGAGAAAAAAATGATTAAAAAACAATCAAAAATGAAACGAAAAAAATGATGAAGAGCCAAGAGAAGAACAGAAAGAAAAGGAAGAGAGAGAGAGAGAGAGAGAGAAAGATCTTCTCATCAATTGGCCTTGATTCTTACCAATCAATTGTCCCAAATCAGATTACATTGATTAATTGTTTTCGTCTGGACACAATTACGATTGAACTTTAATCTCACCATAAAAAGAAAACAATAAATTGGTAACCATTGACTTCGCCGGTCACATGGAATCTCTGCCATTGGTCAATTTTTTTCTTCTCCAATCAAAGAAAAGGGGAAAAGTATTTATGGTAAACAAAAGAACCAAAAATCAAAGAGTTGATATGAAAAAGAAAAAACTAATTAAGGTTAATTTGTTTATTTCTAATTCTTAATTATTCTTTCTAATTGAACTTTTTGTTATAAATTGTGATTATTTCCATGTACAAGTCAAATTAATGTTCATCTCGACGATTAAAATGTTATCTTATGTAATCAACGAGAAACAAATTACTCTTGAAAAAAAAGTGATTACTCTTTTGCTGCCATTTTGTTTCTTGGTAATATTTATACGTTTAGATGGATTAGCTTAATAAAACATGATTATTGTTTGTTAAGTGAACAATTTGATTAATTCCTCTCATATTGATCTACATCAATCATCATCATAACAAGAAGAGTTTTTTTATCGGTCAACATTTTCTGATTCTGAGTGGAGCTAAACAAAGATAACAAGAGCGCTGGGCCATCATTACCAACTCTCTATCATCATCGCCATCTTTTTTTCTGTACTTCTATCATGTTCCAGTAATGAAAAAGGTAATCTTGTTATTGCTTATTATTTATTCATATAACTTATTAATCTTGACCAGTATTTTTTTTCTCGTTCTCTTAAGGTTAAGCCACCCTCATCAAGCAAATGAATCTTCATCATTATCTTGAAACATCAACATGGAGTTGAAAGTAGAAACAAAAAGGAGCAAATTATAAAAAAAGGGAACCACACCAAGAAGAGAGTCTAATCCAACATGAAGTTTACCAGATAAAATCATTCAAAGACTTGCTATATCATCTATACCATCTCATTGTCTATTTTGTGAGTGGTGTGTGTATATGCTATTATTAAGGAGCATCATTCATTTCATTCATTCATCATCATACTATAATCATAATTATCTTCATCCTTTCCTGACCGGATTATACTGGAAACCTCATTGCGGTAACAAAATGATGGAAGTGAAAAACAAAGAAAGGAGAGCTAAAGAATAATAAGAGAGAGAGAGAGAGATAAATCTTGAGAAAACTTCTCTAACCTTTTTCTCTCCACCAACATAATAACACAGTTTCCGCCCTTTCTCAATGGTGTAAGATGACCGATTGATGAACTAATGAGAAGGAGGGGAAAAAATGAGCATCTTAAGGAGAAAGAGAGAAAACTCATCACTGTCTTGATTTTCTTTTATTGCCACTTCTGATCAGGAAATAGTCATAAAAAGTCTTCTCAAGGTCATCATTTTTCATCTTCCATCATCTGTTTCATCTCATTATCATCACCATAGTAAATGATATATATCATGTTACCCGCATCACAATTATCGTTTTGAAAATAGTTCAACAGAACCAATAGAAAAATAATATCAATAATCTAACAATCAGACAAAAAAAAATGATGAAGATAAAATCATCGTTGCATCTTCTCATTCATCTTGATAACTTTTAATTATGATGCTTGTAATATTTGAAATAACCAACTAATGATAATAATCTACTTTAATATTAATTTGAAATCACAATGATTAATCAACTGAATGAATGAGAATAAGAATCAACGGAAATGTTAATTTCTAACCGATTCTTTTCCAATTCATCAAACTGATTTCAACGATCAAATGAAGTTACGATTGTTAAAAAGAAGAGAAGAAAAAAAAAGTAATTTCTTCACTTCCTTTTCCTATTTAATGTTTCTCCATCTTAATATATCTCCACCTCCACCATTCACCATGATGATAATGATACACAAAATTCATCTTCTTGAAAAGGTTGGTCAAAATGATAATCGTTATGATGATGATTAGTATTGAATTAATTTCGAATCACCATCTTTCCGGAATAATCATAATAAATCACATCCGTTCCAAGGTGAGGTTATTATCATCATCTTATTGTTGTTTTAATTCCCACCACATACATAGAAATACATACAACATGCCATTAACAATTAATTCCTTCTATTTTATTTCAGGTTAATCAACAATTTAATCTCCTTGAGAGTTAACAACGAGTTAACAACGAGTAAAAAAGTTTGTGAAAATTATGGTTTACTTTTTGTTTCGTTAATATGGTTCATAAGATTATCACCAATTTCATTGATTGATTTAATCTCTCATTCAATTTGATTATAAATTTCTAATGGAAACAATTAGATTTACTTTTCCCCCCTAATTGTTGTATTTGAGATTTATGATTATTATTGATTGTTCAGTTTTCCTCTCCTGGTTAAAACTTTTACAATCTAATAAATTGTTAAGTGTTAAAAGGCGACTGTGATAATAATCTTGTTAAATCAACTATTAAATCAAAATCAGTCAAATAAATTGTGATTAGTTAAGCTGATTACATGATAAGAAGAATTAGTGAAACAAAAAAAAAGAGATGAATGAATGAAATAGGAAATAAATCATTTCTTATCAATAAGTTAATGATTGATCTGATTACTTGCACTGTGGACAATGTGTAACAATCTTGTTAATATATTAGTTTAATTAGTTGGAAGACAAAAGGTCAATTCAATTAGTTAATTGTGATCCATCACAATTAATGGTTTCCTTTGTTATTTATATATTATGAACAATGAAGCTCATCCAACTGTGATGGAAAGGTAAGTGTAAATGTTAGTTTAATTTAAATTATGATTACTCTTTGATGGAAGATGAAGATTCTGATGATGATCTTCAATTGATACAAAAGTTAATTTAAAAAAGAAGTAAAAAAAAGAAACATTAAGAAGAGAAATGAAAAGATTCTGGAAGAAAAAAAGGTTTTCATCATGTTAACCTTGCGAAATTGTGATGATGGTAAATTATTAGAAAGGGAATTGGGTGTTTCTCAAATCATTTAGACCGAAGATGATGAAGATGATGAAGATGATGGAATGAGAGAGAAAATCTACTCACTGTATTTATAAGAAAATCAGGAAACTTGTTATCATTTTCTGACCACAATTTAACCTTCTCTCTCTCTCTCAGGAAGCTATTAGGTGATGAGGATGATGATCTATTAAACGGAAGAAGAAAAGAAAGAATCAGATATTCGATGAAATTTCAAGAAAAAGAGATTAAATCATTGAAGAATGAAAATTTCTATTGAGTGTCCAACGTAAGAAATGATAATAATCTGGTTGGATTAACAGAAGACCAATTGAATCCATAATAAAATGCTTCTATTCAGTAATCCGTTGATAATTTATAAGAAATTTAATGTACCTGTAATAATGATGATAGAAAAAGAAAATGTATTAGATTAATTAACTTTAAATTGTTCGACATCTAATTATTTTGCTGGAAAAATATTTACGATAATGATAATATTTACCTTTCATACTTGACATTGATGTAATTTCAATAGACTAAAGTTGTTAATTGTTACTTATATCCAGAAGAAAACATAATATTTGTCTTAATTGTTATGGTCAAAGTATGTTAATCAAGGTAATAACATGTAAGATATTCAGAAACGTTCAGGTTAAGGTTAATTTTCATTTTCCTGTTTATGTTGAAATTTATATTCATCGCGTTGAGATTTTACATGAATGAACATCGTTCCCTTTGTATTATCCAGGGTTAGAGGTTAAATATTTACGTTGATTATCAAGGTGTTAGTGAGTAATTAAAGTAAATTAAAGAGTAACCATATCTAAATGTTGTAACCTGTTAGAGAAAATGAGATGAGAATATTAAGAAAAGAGGTTTAGATGATAAACTGAGAGATAATGATGAAGATGAAGATGCCTAAAACTACATTTGATGTAATAGCAACAATTTAAGAGGAAGAGGAAGAAACTTGGAAGATTTTTACAAATTAAAAGTGAATTAAAAAAGTAAACAAATCTACCTAATGAGTTGGATGAAAATTGCGATTAGATTGTGAGACTGTTATTATTATTATTGTGTTAATAGCTTGAAGAAGTAGGAAAATAATAATTATGAGATTATTAAAGAATCTTAATGATAATCAACAATTAATATTCATATTAGATTGTAAGCTAATTGCTTCTCAGATACTATGGTCAGGGAAAATAATGTCAATCCTTAATGGATCATGTTAAAAGTGGCTAAAGGTAAATTGTTATTTAATTATTATTAATTTGTTCTGGTTTTATATTTACATGAAATTGAAATTATGTTACAATTAACAGTAGTTAATTGATTGGGATGAAGATTATGATAAAGAGGATTGATAAAAGTTTTTAAGGAAAAGTAATAGTGAAACAATTAGTCTAATACAATTACCATAATAATCGGTTAGTGAAATTATTACATTAACAATACGAATATGAGATTTTCATGATTTCTGTTGATTGTCATCAATTCTTAATCACAATTAATAGTGTGTGAGTGTATTTACTATTATTGTGATCAAGTGTAGGAGTTTATTCAAAGTCAATGTGAGGTTAAAATGATTATCATTATTGGGAGTAAACATGTAACTTTATGATGCATTAAATTTGATGATTGCTTGTTGATTGTTGATTGTTGATTGTTGTTAAGAGACACTCACACATATATATTGATGTGTATGCGAAAATACAATGTTAATGGTTGTGGAAAATGGTGATCACAATAAAAGAAGTTAAAAAGAAATCAAATTAACTGTCGATTAATGATGACGATTAAATAGATGTTTAAACATTTTGATGGTCGATTTGTCAAGGTTAATTATTTCGTGGACAATAAGGTAAAACTGATTGTTAATTACAATTTACTTGTGGATTTTATCCTCTTGATGGTTAATGGATTCACTTTGGGTGATCATCATCAACAGATTTGATAACCATTTCATCTTGATGAATGTATTTTATCACCTCAATGGTGTTCATGGTAATATAATTGCAACGGTCATTTTAATTTGTTCTGATTATCATCACATTTTGGTGCTGATAATCATCATGATCATGATGCTGGTTGGGGTTGGTGATGATCATCAAGTTTCTATTGCGTTGGTTTCCAAGAATAACCTTAATCTTAGTTACCAGAGGCCTAAAAAAGAAGAAACAATTTCGAATATTGGTCAAAGTCACTGTTCGTTTACGCTACATTAAGATGAGAAAAAAATTCTTGAAAACAAACCTACATGATGATAGATTATGATGGCGATGAGATAATTAATCATAAACAAATTCGACATTGAAACTAATGGCTCAATCTCTCTAATCCAGTTCTGGTGAAGAGAAACTCTTTCCATTGACTATTCCGATTTATTATTTTTCTTTCCATCTAAATGTAACCCTTTTTGACCGTTTAAATCAATTGATGATTAAATTGTTCCATGAGATTAACTATTCAACCTTACGATTAGCAACAATTAAATATTCGATGACAACTTAATTTCCAATCTATTTGTTCATTGTTTTCATCTCTCTCTCTCTCTACGTTGATCTATCTCTTTTTATACCAATCAACCTCATTAATTGTTGTTATCAATTAATCATTTGAGTTAATCATAATTTAGGTTTTCTCCCAGTTTTCTTCATCGTTTTCAGATCATTTCACTGAAGGCCACAAATTATCGGGTACGTTTAACAAGATGAAATATCTGACCTTATCAGGAATCCAAACCGCTACTCTTGACCCTCGCCCAAATAATTATATAATGTATTGGTCAATCAGTACATATATTAACACCTTTAACTTTAAATTGTTTCACCAATTTATATCTATCATTTTTTTTGGTAATCAACAATTAATTTATTGTAGTGTTTCAATCAATCAATTGGAATTGAGTAAATCAAAGACCATCAATAGTTAACTCAATGTTCATTTAAAGATTAACTTATTCACTATTCAATTGATTTTCTAAATCTATTTTTCTGATTAATTTTCACCCAAGAATCAGATCAATTCTCCTTCATGGTAACAGATTAATTGTTTTCTCTTTGATTCATCATCATCACCAAACGTTATTCTCAATGGAAGCAAATATCCATTCAATCAACAAGTGATTCTTACATGAATTACATAAGTTAATTAACTTGACCAACGATCATTTGATTAATGTATTGATCGGAAGGTCAATCAGTTGTTGTGGTCAGTTGATAATCCATACTTTGTTTACATTCAGGCTAAAGATTATCGGGTGGAGAAATTGAAATGCAAATCTTTTGAAGCTTTAATTATACAGTAAATTGGAGAGCTGATTGAAAGCAGTCATCATTTGATAAGCATCTTTATCATCAACATCATTAGAATATCAAACATGATGCTAACCCATTATTCTAATGGTATGTTGATATTTCGCTTTTTTACTTTTTGTTTTCTTCTCCTTTCCCCTGTTCCTCATCATCATCATCATCATCATGAGAGAGACAAAATGATGATGATTCTGTTAATCTCAGTCCCTTTTAAGACAATTAACTCATCTGAAAATCATCAATGACAAAGGTCAACGTTTCGTTTCCTTGTTTTTATATTTAGTCTCTTGTTATGATTCTGGTTTACATTAATTTCGTAAACAATTAGCCTAAATTGTTCATTAGATTTGTTAAATAGTGTTTACGTTGAGACGAAAAGTTTACTATTATCATTTACTATTAGTAAATTGTTAGTAGTTTACTTGACCAAAAGTTAATAACATCGATTGTATTGAAAATATAACAATTATATTGAATAACAATTTACAAAAGTAGGCGAAGAGAGAGAGAATCAAATTTTCTAATAACAATCAATTTAAAAGTAATTTAATTTTCTGTTATTGTTTTTTTCCTTCCTGTTTCTTTTCCAATATAAAACCTCAGTTAATGATCAACATGATACTCATGGTGAAGTCTATCAACTTGTAGCAATTAAATTAGAAAGGAGAGGAAAACAATTAACCATCAACATCTTCAGGGCAATTAGATAATTGTCATCAATGGATTGAGATTAAAAAATCGTTTGAGATCAACACCAAAACACCAGAATCACAATTGAATTGAAAATTAATCAACAACCAAACCAATCATGCAATTGATTAGCCGCAAGCAGAAACATTCAACAATTAATGATTACCAGCATCACAATTAATTCAATATTAAATCAATTGTTAACCATCAAAGGAATCACAATCAAATAACAAACATAATACAAAATTTAAGTTTTAATATCAAACTAAATTATTATATTTCACTTTCATTATCAGTTTCTCATTGATTATCACCAAATTGTTATTTAAATTGCTAAAAAATCAACAATTTGTTGATTAATCTTTCATCATCATAAACTATTGATAATTAAACTCTTGATTACACAAACTAATAGATTCAGTTAATTATCATCAATTTTATTTGATTATTGTTCTGTTGGGTGTTGAACGATCTCGAAGAAAACAAAATCAACTAATTGTGATAATCAAACCTACTTTTTGTCATAAATGAAATAACCCCAAGCAATATACTAATCATAATGTTAATCAAACTGAAAGTAACAATATAATTAATAAATTTGATTGGCCTTTGATTTGATTGTTTTGATTTTGGGTGTTGAATTGTCTGATTTATCCTCAATCAGTTTCGGATTTTGTTAATTTTTATGCTTCTCTTTTATTCAATTTGTAGGTTTGGCTTTTTGATTATTATATTAATCATGATTTAACTTTCGTAATCATCATCATCAACATCAGCATAATCATCGTCTCTGATTAATTGTAATAATCAAATGACCTACAACTGAATTATATTAACCAATAATTAATGATTAACCTTTTCCCTGACAGTTGATTTAAATTAATTGATTGGGGAAAAAGTTTTGTTTTTATTTTCATCAATGAAACTTGATTAAAACTAATTGTTGTCAATGGAACCACAAACTCATCATTAACAATTGCGAGTATTGAATTTAAAAGTTACTTCAACAATTAACAAGTTAATAGTTAATTGTGATATTGTATTTATATAACAATAAATGTGATTCATTTCTCTCCGATTGTAAATTAAATTTACAATGTAAATTTTTGGATTGTTAATTGTTGATGAATGATTATATTAACTAATTACAAATTCTTCACCAGGAATCATTTCATTTTTCATTTAATCACTTTTTCCTATTCTTAATAGTAAACAATATGATTAAGACAATTATCTTCTCGTTTATTAATACTCATCAAGAATAATTAAGTTAATCATTTGTTTGCCGAATCAAAAATTGAATTGAATTAAATTTAATTCCCTTTTTTTACTCATCAACATAAACAAACATTATTATTATCACGTTAATTGTAACATAAATATTATCGTATAATATTAACAATATTTTTCTCCGTCATAATTACAGTTTTAATTGTAATCATCACCATGATCATAATAGGGAATCATAATAACAAATTAACGGTAAAAAACAAAACAAAATATTAATAGTAACAAAGTTTTCATTTACTCAACAATTAACAGTATTTAGAAGCTCAATTGATGGAATGATTTAAATTTCGAGAATCGATTTTGTTTTTCCAATTCAATGAATTAACTTTAATTGAAATAATTAAGAAAGAAAATGATTTAACTGTGATGGCGAATTGAGACAAAATCAATTTTCTCATTATTGTTATGATAAATTATTGTTTTCGTCTTAATAACGATAATGATAGTGAATTAAAGCTTCCGCCCAGTTGATTGTTCCAATTCTGTTCTTGAAATTGAGGCTCTGGTGACACAATGGAGTTTGAAGATAAAACAAGAAGATGATGAGAAGATTAAGAAAGAGAAGGAGAATAAAAGAAAGAAGAGAGAAAGAGAGAGAAGAGAGAGAATTGAAATCGGGGGTGAGAACGAAAGAGAGAAAAGATTTATCTGAATGAATAAAGTTCTGTATGTAACCGGTCTTGGCATCGATTCTAACTCAGAATTTCTCATTCTTTTTTTCTTCTCTTTATTTTCTCTCTTTCTGCTCACTTTTCTCTCTAATTTCAGCTCCCTCGGTTACCTGATCTTCCAAATGAACAGTCAATCCAGTTTGTAACTTGATTGTGTTGGATTAACATCAACACAACAACGATTTCGTTCTCGTTGTGTTTATGTAACTTTTTCTTTCAAATTCTAATCAATGATAAACAATGTTCACAGTTTTCAATCAAGGATCAATATTGTTGTTACTATTTGAATTAACATGGAAAACTCATATTACTTTCAACAGTTGGAATTGAATAAACAAGTGACCATCATCATCATCATCCGATCCTAAGACTGACCATTACAATGTATTTCTATTTTTATATCTAATCAATTAAGTTACATTGTTTATCTTATCAACTTCATATTGATTAGTTTTATAATTTTCTACAATTAAAAACAACCAATATGATGATTAACTCATTTTCCCAGCCAAGGAATCAAAAGTTAACCTTTTGTGATCGTTGTGATGAAAATGTTTCACTTTTTTATTCAAATTTCTGTCAACAATGAGTTTAGATTATAATTGTTGATTATCATTTGTAAATCCATCATCATCATCATCATCTTAATCATCTCCTCGATTTGTAACCTTTCACCTCTAGTCTTCATATAAATCATATTCTGGTTGTTTATCCATCATAAAAGTGAACAGAAAAAGTTTCGGATTTAACATCATCAATCAACTAATTGCTACATCAACATGGATGCCACAGCCTATGGTTGGTTATCAAACTGTGCCTTTGCCCCGGCCATTGGTGCCCTCACTGTGTGGATATTGTTTATGTTTAATATTTATCGTTCTGAATGGAGAAATGTTGATATTTTTCTGGTTCTAATTACGATTCAACAGTTACTTTCCTGTTCATCCATTTTCGCCTATTCCCTTGTTAATATAATTCGCTCCCGGGTCGAAACCTCATGTAATTTAACCGTATGGTCATTGACCACTTTACGAATCTTCCAATTGTCCACCATAGGTTCGCTTGCTATGGACAGAGCATTGACCCTTAAATGGCCTTACAAGTATCGATTTAGTGTTCGTTCAAATCAAATTTGTTACCATATTGTTGTGATCGCCCTCATGTCGGGCTTAGTTGGTGTTGCCGGTGTTTTTGCTCGAGTCTCACCAATATTTCAACAATCATCATCTGTAACTTATTCATCCTCATCTTCATCGCCATTGTCTTCAACTGTATCAATAGCATCAACAACACCAATACCAACAACATCACCATTGTCAAATTATCCTAAAATTTTGACAACAACAACAACAATGCCAATCAATTATACTCAATCATCATCAACTTTAATCATTCCCATTAATTCATTGATGAATCAACAAGTTTGCAGTTTAAATCCATTAGCATGGGACATTAGGTTCAACCTTTTCTTTACTTGTCTCTGTGGTTTGATCACTTTGATTACTTTATCATCATTTGTTTACATTGAATGTAACCGTGATACAAATGATTCAAGTCGATCGACACCAAAGTCCAAAATGTTGCCAAATTCCCGAATCTCTTCATTTGGTGACCTTGCAGTTGAAAACCTTGGTTCTAATGAAGCGATAACGACCAATAACACCAATACCAATAAATATAATAACCATTCACCCGGTTCATTGGGTGGTAATGGCGGAAATGGTAATGGTGGTGTCGGTGTCGGTGTCGGTGTGGGTGTTGGCATTAATCCTGGAAACGGAATAACCTCTGGAAGCCACAATAGTTTACAAAGATTTTACAGTATTAGCAAAGAGGATTCTCGTCTTCATCCTTCATCAAATCATCATCATCAACAACAACAACATCTTCACAACCATTCAAAACTCCACTCAAATCATTCATTCAACAAACACCACAATTATCCTCAACATCATCCGCATCCTCATCATGGTAATAACAATATACTCAACCACATCCGATCATCTGATATGAGATGGGCTGTTGTTGTTGCCATTACAAGTTTAAGCTACGCTGTTAATCAAGGACCATCACTGGTAAGTACAAATTGAAATACTCTCCTAAACTGGACAACAACAATTAACTTAAATTGTTCATCTAACCCTTAAAATTATCAGAGTAAATTAGAAAAAAGAAACAAGGTCATCAAGGGTCAGTACTTAAGCGTTTAAATGTAATTCCCGCTTTCAACCTATTGGATTAACAGTTTTTTAATCAGTCCAAATGATTCACGATCATCATGGTGATCAAATGATGATTATCATCCAATCAACAGTTAAAACAATACGTTGAGCGGTAAAAGAGATCACAGTTTGTTGGCCTTTTTATTACCGTTTTCATTTATATAATTTAACAACAATCAACAACAACAGGATGATAAAGAGAAAGAAAGAGAATGAGAGAGTATAATTAACACACAATCAAAAGAGATCACTAATTACTAATTAAAAGTGTTCAAAAAGTGTAAAAAAAATTAATAGCAACCGAGGAGGGAAAAAGTGTCTCAGATCAATTCAAAGAAGCGAAGAGACAACAAAAAGGAAAAAAGTTTTTTTTTCTGGTTTTCACCAAATTACTTCAATCTACTGAATAGCGATTGAACTTTTGTTTGATTAACCATGATAAATATTCATCTCTTCATGATTGATTTTGCCTCAAGTTCAAAGTATATCACCATTATTAATAAATCAACACCGTTCAATGTGGATGTGGTTAATATCACCTTAAGTATTACACGTACACATTAAACAGCAACAAAAACAACAACAGCGATGATACAACAATGATAACAGTTGATGATGATGATGATGATGATGGTATTAGTCGTATGGAACGATGATGGTTGGAAGAACCAGGAGAAGATGAAAAAAAGAAAAGGTTAGAAAAGGTAAAATGATAATAGAAAGAGTTGCAAGGCCATTTTTCAGGCCTCGAAAAAATTGACTTAATGAGCCATTGGAATAAAAGATGATGAAAAAAAGTGAGAGAGAAAGAGAGATGAATGAAAAAAAAAGAATAGAAAAGAAAGTTGCTCAGCCAGATTCCAATGGCGAAATTATAATGAATCCAAGATTCATAGTTTGAAATATGAAGAAAATCTTTGGAGTGTTAAAAATGATCTCGTCTTCTTTTTATCTTCATCACTATCAACATCACCTTCTCTCACTATTTCATTATTAATCATCTTTTGTTTCATCTTTACAATTGAATTTCATTTTCTCTCACTATCCACTGACCTCTCAGTGGATTTATCTTCATCTTCATCATCAAAACAGTGATGCTGTTGACTTTTACATTCCCAAAGTTTTATCAATGGGAATAGTTTCAAGGTTATGATCGTAATCATGATAATCTCTCTCTCTCTCTCTCTCTCTCTCTCTCTCTCTCTCTCTCTCTCTCTCTCTCTCTCTCTCTCATTCTGATAACTTGTTTCAAACTTGTTCCCCTCTCATCTCTCCCATGCTCTCTTGGTGCCTATTATACCTTTAGCTTAATTAATAACATCAACCACCCAGAGTTGATTATCTTTCTTGTGTTTTCTAACTTCCTTAATCATTTAATCCTAATCTAAACTCCCACTCACCTACACAATTGCAAAACTTTGATACTTTACCATTAATCAGAATCAATTAACTATTAATCACAATTTAATTGACTGATCATTATTATTTGTTTACCTTTTTCAATTTCGGTTTTATAACTGATACAGTGTGTTCACGAATAATGTGCTAGGGTTTGATTGTTAATAACATTTTTATTTGATGTCCGATTCAAAATTACTTTTCAAATTTAGATTCAGCAATGTTGAATTAGCTGATTGAGCACCTTCACAACATAAAATCCTTTACCACCGCGCTGTGAAACCTGATCGACGCTAGTGGTCATTTTCGGCTCAATTAACAGTAGCAACCTCATAATTCTTTGAATTGAGATAAAAACTCAACCACTTAATACAAAATAATAAATTTAGATTCATTTTGTTCATCAGTTCATAAGCAACAAAATAAGACTAAAAAGTACTAGTTGTCAGTACCGAATTCAGAGAAATTCCGATTATTCATTCCAATGAGTCATGAATCTTCAGATTTCAAAAATTGTGATAAAAATGAAAGTAGGGAAAATTCAATTGAAATCTCAATTTTATTTGATAGCTTATCTGAAGACAATTACTTGATGAAAATTTCATCGAGTTTCTTACGCGAATAAAAAAAATATCGAGACCTAGCACGTTTTTCGTGAACACACTGTATAATACAATTAAAAAAGAAAAGTTTTCTAATAAAATTTAATCAACTCTTAATAACTTGAATGATTTAGTAAATTAACTTGATTATCTCTCAGGTTAATATTGATTCTGGTTTAATGACATTTTAAATCTCTGGTCAATTTTTAATGGTTTATACAATTAACTAATGATGAGATGTCCTTTTTTGGTTTCTTAATTGTGACCAGTTATTTTTTTTAATCTTGTTGCTGTTTAGTTAAATTATTTGAACATGATTAACAAGATACTTTGCCAATTGCTTGATAATAATAATTATCATTAACAATTTAGCAAACACGCAAATGAAAAAAAAAGTATACAAGTTAACACAATCAACTTCCTCCTTTGCCTAAGGCTTAATCAATCAAACAACAATTTAATCGTGATCAGCTGATGATGATTTTAATGAAAACAACAATAATTAAGCCCTAACTCAACAAATTATCATCATAGTTTTATCATATTAATTTTATTTTATCCCAATGATAGTGATTAAAACGATTCGTTAAATAATTTATTTAATAACAACGATAAATGTTTGTAAACAATTAAAGTTAATTGTGTGTGATTTTCTGCACAATAATTTGATTTTTCTGTGAGTTGATCATCTGTGGTTAATTGTTGTCATGTAACTAACACGATTAACAATTGTTACTTTTCAATTGCCAATGATAAGAAATTTAATTGTAATTAGATTTTAATTTCTTTCCTTTGATTGTAATTAACTCTCCTCTCATTCAGTTAAACTTTAATTCTGTTTATATTGTGCAAATGATTAAAGATTAAAATGATTCTATCAACTTAATACTCCCTTTCTAGTAGATTGTAAATATTACTTGAAGCAGATTGTGTTAAACAATTAACTTTAAATGATTTATAATTAACGTTCGGAGAGAAAAATTTGATTAATTGTGTAACTTATTATATTGTTTTCCTATCAAAATTATGTAAAATTTCATCATCAACTTAATCATCATGATTATGATTAAATCCTTAAAATTTGTGAGCGTTCAATTGAACAGTCTAAGTGTACATTGTATCAGCCTAAGGTTAATTGTGATGATTAAGATGATGATGATTGTAAACTTAATTTGTCAATTGACGATTTGTACTGAGGAACACGAGGATCAACTATGTTAGTGAATTAGGAACTTTTATTTAACAGAACACAAAAGGGTTGATTTGATTAATTATACAACTGAGTTAAGAAACTGAATTTGTGAGAAAAGGGTAAAGGGTATTTTGAGGTTAAAGTAACATAGAAGAAGAAATTGACAATTTTGATGTGGATACAAAAGCTATTATCAAAGACTTAGGTCCTTTGTCTTTGGTTTGGCTTTAAATACTAATTTTAAAAGGTCTCGTGGGTATTGATAAGATTATACAAAATGGTGGATTAAATGATTAAAGGGAAAGTAATAGTTGATGTACTCATTATCAACTATTGCGTAATCCTTACAGAGCCCTCAACTTATCGTTACTTTCGGGTGTCAAAGGAATCTATTGAATTTTGTCACTACAGTGCCAGAAATGAGATAGATTCAAATGCCCCGAAATTAACGTAATTGTCGATCTCTTATTAATTTTGGTCGCTTCTTGAATTTGTTGAATATGGTGAGATCCACTTCCGAAAACGGCGGTCTAAGGTCCTCAGATCCGTCACACATTTTGGCCTCATCATATGAAGATGCTGGTTTTCCTATTGGTCTTTTACGAACTTGCATTGGCCAATCTTGTAAAATTTCCATGATGTTTTTCACTAGTTGGCTGAATTGTCGATTGTAACCATAATTTAAATAAGGATAAGGTCGCACGTACATTGGATGTTCGATGGCTTTACAATGAGTCTTTTCAAACTCAACATGATCTATCATGTAAGCCCACATGGTGAATCCAGCGTCAACAATTGGTGAATGTTCTTTCTCTTGGATAATTAATCCGAAAAGGGCAAAAATTATATATTTTAGACCAATTGATGTTGTGTTATATAAACACTTATAATAGACATTCACATCTCGAACTTTGGGTCTAATTAAATCCCAATCGTCTTCAGAAAATCCTATACTAATAAAATCGTTGACTCCTCCACACGCAAATAATGTCCATTGTATTGAGAATAGCGATCACTTTTCTCTTCGCAACTTGCCAAGTATCACAGCCACGAGTTTGTTCAAATGTCAATCCATGAAAATTGTTCCAATTGCCATTGCTTCTTTTGGATACCTGATGATACCATTGAACAATTGATTTTTCAAAATCTACGATTCCAATCCATATTGGAAGAGATCTTTCACCAACTTGAGTTTTAACTTGCTTTTTCGATGTCCATTCCACAGACATTTTCTTTTCTTTCTGAATTCTTTCATTGCTTCTGACAATTCTTCCTTTATGGACACAATTCGAAAGACTGAACACTTCATTTGGATTACTATGAGTCTCTAACCACTTTCTCTTTTCTTTCTTCTTCAACATCCTGTTTTCAATTCCTTGTTCTTTTCCTTGTTCCATTTCTTTCGTCTCTTGATTAAAACTCGTTTTCTATCTGGCGGAATTGTTGGATCTTTTCGATATCTGAGATTGGTTTCACTTTGCTCTTCCTCTAACTGGAGTATCTATCTCTCAACTCGGCACTTATCTCTTGGGGCACAGTTACGACTCGGAAAAGGTCCTATTTCCTGGTCAAGAACTGAGTCCCAATCTACAAGAGGTGTACCAACTTTAATAATACACATGATGGATCCCATTCACCCCATTCACTTGGCTTTTCAATTT